AGCCACTGAGACTCTTAGYGTACTTCTCAGTGGGCCACACTACATAAGCTAAGTTTATAAAGCACCTTTTCTCACTCAGCTCTGCAAATGCCACTTGGGGTCTGGAAGTCAACTTCTTTTCTGCCCATGAATCAGAATCAGCAATAAAGCTTATGTAACAGCACTTAACAAATCCAGTCATGACGCACAAGTCAGAAAAAAAAGCAGCTCACTCCAACATAACTCTTTTGGCATTGCAATGCTTAAAATAAAATAAAAGTCATTTCTGGCAGAAAGAAATAAGCATTGTAATGCCTTATTTGCACATCATCTGTTTCTGTATTTAAAGTTTCAGTCTTTAAAATTGTTGTTTGTTTTGTACCCATTCCTTATTTCTTCACATCACTTTGACATTCTCATAATTTTATCTGGTTTTACACTCAGAGACAAGTTCAGAATCACTGAGATGATACTACACTGTGTGCTCTTTCTGTCATCTATAATTTCCCTGAACATTCATCATTTTAAGCCAGGTTTCAGGTTGCTGCTAAATATATGCCTCTTACTAAATACATATTTCTAGCCTCCAAAGTCCTGTCCCATTAGAACAAAGTTGCAGCCACATTAAGAGAAATTGCTTTATAGAACTCTTACTGTCTCTCCATGAATCAACCTACTCCTGCTTTGAAACTTGAAAAGTCATGGAATAATAGCATTCTTTAATTTGAAAAAGACCTCAAAATATAGCTTTCAGTCTCAGACTAAGGCTACCAGCAAATATTTGTTCACATAACAAAACTGAAACTTATACTGAGCTTTTTGGGAGGCCTTTTTGTTTTCTTTCCGGAAAGCCCCTATTGTATATTTCTACTGCTCATTGTATCCAGCAGCTCCATATCAGCTGCCGGATATTGTCCCAGAAATGTCAGCTGCAGGGAAAGAATGCAATTAGGGATGCCCTGGTGACAGTTTGACACTTACAGTGGCAACATTTAAATTTTTAATTGGCTGTGTGGCACAGACAGCACACAATTTAGATTATTTGTGAAAACTGGACCAGTACRCTAAACTAATAACTTCTTTCGTTTGGAAGAAATGAAGATCAGCTTGCAGCTGAAAGCCCAAATATATCGATTTTTTTTTTTTAATAAAATGTTTGAAACTAGCTCCTGAAACACATTTTACATCCACAGACTATGAGAAGACTTCCYCTTTAGGACAGCAAGGAAAGCTATTGTTTAAAACAGTTCATTTCATCTATATTGAAGTAATTATGTAAAATGTGGGGTCTCAGTACTACGTTATTTMTATGAGTATTTTCTCATTATTATATTTCTATCTGACAGCTTCTACAGGTATGTAGAATATCTCTTAAAACAAATCCTGCATCAAATCAATTAAAAATATAGACTAAAAGTTTGGAACACAATCATTAGAAAAACTACATTCTATATAGAATAGTTTAGCACAGCCACGGAAAGAAGAATTATAGATTATGCCAAACTCAAAGCAATGTAATCTCTTCTGAAGGGCAATACGACCAGGTCCTACCTAACCGCAGATTCACTTGGGATGCACAGTATTATGCCAAATTTAAGATAATTTTCTTTTTTAAGAATTTTAAATCCAAGGGTATTTTTGGGTGCATGTGCGTTTGTGTACTCTCTTGCCYCTGACTTTCATATTTATTGCATTATGCTGCAATTTAACCAGGATGTGGTGGAAAAAATAAGTATTTGCTGCTTCATGCAGTCTGTCTATACACATGATCTTTTAATGCAGTAAAATTTGAACTGGTGTACTTAAAGCTGTTTGTAATACTGTGTGCATCCATGTATCAGCACAGTTAAGTTACCATTCAGAGTAACTTAATTTTGCCTGGTCATTAGGACAGGGACTAGACTATATCAGTTAAAGCTGCAAGAATAGTTYAGGATAAGGGAATTTTGCTAGATTTTGGGCAGGTGGCTGAACTTTTAAGTCTTTATTCTTGTGAAAAGTCCATGTACTCAATGTAATTCTGACTTTTTGTTCTCACTGAAAAACAGACTTTCCAGAAAAATGTCACACTGGGATTTTATGGTCCCAGAGGAAGTGATACACTTTATCTCTGAGAGTCAATGAGCTGAACCTAGTCTCAGAGTTACATTGGAATAGGGTAGTTACGAGAAATATTCTCATAGATATATATATATGTATATGCATATAGATAGATAGATAGATAGATAGATAGATAGATAGATATAAAGAAAAGATATAATAGACAGCATTATCATTTCTCTGTTAACCATTTGCCAGCCAGATTTGCCAGGCAAGAGTGCCATAGTGTGTTTACAGACAGTACCAATGCTGCAAACAGGCATTCTTATAGCTCCCTTATCTCTACAAAAACTTGCTTCTTTTGAAGGCTTCTCCTTCTATTTTATCTAATATACAAATCTGTTTCAGATTATTAAAAAATAAAAACAACAGGAGGAGTAAGCAAGAATCCTGGATTCAAGATATTATGGCTATCTACTTCATTGTGACATTACATTAAATAGTTCAAATTGATGCAGGAAATGTTGTATCTATCTGGCTGAGAAGAGAATCCAGTCTACTTCCCGAGAATCCAGTCTACTTCCCTGGTATGCCCTGTATTTTGCATTACTTACCTAGAGCTTCTGTGCACATGGTCATATGGATGTGATCCATGTTGGAGTGGGACCCGTTTCCAACATCATCATTAATTTAGGTTCTATTCCTCGTCTAGGATTCCTTTTYGCTACTATTGGATATCCAGACCAAAGAAAAACTAGCAGAACTTAGACAGCAGTATGGCAAACAGATAAAGAACGTAAGCATGAATTCACTGAGTAATATCTGCAAAACATTTAGCAGCTTTTTTTCACAATCAGAAACATAGACCTTTGTCGGCTATATGATCTTGACATTACAGCTGAAGTCATCTCAACATCGATAAATCCATTTCATATTCACTTTTTCATTCCAGGCCCCTGAGTAAACATGTTTTCTCCCTGCATCCTCAAGCTCCTGGGTGTTTTTGCTGTGTTACAGCTGTGGGGGAGTCACTGTGGTACGTGATTTTCTCACTGCAGCATTACTGAGAAAGAAGGTTGCAGAACTGTAGTGTGACTAGCGCTTAGAGTTTTCCTCTTTGCCCTTGGATTCACTTTAAAAAGGTAAGACAAGCACAACTAAATGCTAATATATGAACAGTCAGTAGTCAAAGGGGAATGCACCAGCAAACACACAAAATTTATGGAAAGTGAAGATTCTAGCAGTTATAATTTGTTGCCCCTGTTTAAGTTCAGAGGTCAGAGCGAGAGAATGGTTCTTTTCCATTATGTAGGAGTAAACAGTTCCCTGTGGAAGCAATATATTATATAAGAAGAACAATTAGAAAACTGTCTTGACCTAAAAGTCTCACCAAGTGGAGCAGCAGCAGTCATAAGAAGTAAGCTCGGTACTAGCGAATCACAACAATTAGTTGCTACTCTGCTGGGGGCACTAAGGATGTGCTTATTTCCTTCAGGATTATAATTCAATTTTGAAACTGAAGTGATCATAAAATATACCTGTTTGTGTTTAATTTTAGGTCAAAGTCATGTATTAGGAGAAGATTGCTACTCTAGATTTTGAAAGCATTAGCTTGAGTAATGTAACAAAACCTCATATCATTCTGAGTTTAGAAAATCTACAATTACTAATAATGGCAAGAAGTCACGTAAGGGCCAAATAAGATTAGTAAAAAATAAAACTGTATGTCAGCAGTATAACAGAAACTGAAATGAATGATCAAATGGGCAGAACACTCTTGCAGCCTAGACAGTAAATTATGTGTAATTGGGAAGGAGAACAATGTATAGTCACAAGAAGAGTCTATAATAAGCACTTAAAGGATCAATGTTTTCTACGCAGAATATTATATTAGGTTTCATAATACTATATAAAGGGATTTTGTAGCTTTCACTGTTAAGCTTAGCACCATAATAAATGAAAAAAAAATCTGCAAAAATACTAAAGAGGAAAACATGGGTTTGAAACTGTTAGTGAAATATAGTAATAGGGAGGACACAGCCTGTGTTTGTTTTCTACACTGCTCACATTTCAGACTCACCTAAAATGCTTTTCCAGCATTTCTCCTGATAGAAGCTAGATTCCTAGCATGTGAAGCTGAATTATCACCCTGAACTCACCCTGTTTGATCTTGAATTAATATGCATACAGACATAGGCAKGTTTTCAGAAAAGGCAATAAATGAACAACAACTGCCAGTAAAAAAACCTATCAAGTATCACATCAAAACTGACATTTCCAGATTGCCTGAAGGAATAGTTCATGGTAAATGATTGATGAAAGCCACCAATGTCTATTAACATACGTTCACCACTACTTATTCATTCATTCATTCATTCAACAAAAAAAGATAAAAAAGATGAAGAAAGGAAACATTTCCTTTATATTAGAGAGAATAAAACTGTTGTATGCATTGCCTAATTATTTAAATGTTCAGGAATAACCCAGCACGGTAGACATTTACATTGCCTTCATACTACCAAAATGCCAAGGGAGCCCCTGTGCCCAAGGTGGCGGGTATACATCTTGATAGGTGTTTGGAGTAAGTACCAAGAGCCACAGCCCAGGGTGGAGCAGGTAACTAAAAGGAAGCATAGGTGCAAAAATGTGGATTGCACTCAGTAGAATTTAGGCCATCCCAAACCAGCACTTATTTTCTCCTTTGTATAACTCAGTGGACAAAATTCGATGGCCTACTTGTGCAGAAGGGTGAAGCAGATTACTGTAATGGCCTGTTTGGCCTTCAACCCATGTGGCTGATTTTTATTTATGCTCAGATTTCTCACCGCTCTGGCAATAAGCAGTCTATATTTAGGAATGCTTAGAAGTTCTTTTTCCCTCACTACTACAACAAAGCAATCGAGTTGCAGAGAAAGCAACACTCTAAATCTATGCATCCATCTTTAAAACGTCAGAAGCATTTTTCAAGTAACTTCTCGTACCTCTTTCTCCATTTGCAGTCCTTCTGCTCTGATATTCCTCTCAAATACTTCCCTCTTTTCTRTTTGTGGATTGGATTTTCTATACACCAGAATGTAGTCGATTCGACATTTCCCATCTCTAAAGTATAGTCCGTTGGTTTTGTTTTTATCAGGTGCTTCCTGTCAAGAGAAAGTCAAATATTTCAGTAATGTCAGTGTGCTTTAGTAATTGCAGCATCCTGATCTGCCTCTGCAATCTTCAGCATTGCTCAACTGTAAAGATCAAAACAAGCTGCTCAGATTTTTAGGCGCTTTAAATAGAAATGTTTCTGAGGTCTTCTGAAAGGAGTGCAGCTCTCGTCAGTTCAAAATCAGGAGGTCACTTTGGTAGATGTTCTGCCACAYTGGATTGGAAAATGAGAGAATATTTTATGTGAGAAAACCTTCCTCCCCTACAACCCACCAGAAATTTAGGAATAGCTTCCTACCTATAAAATAAACCTGAGAATAGTGTTATACTGAAATGTAAACTTATAAGTAAGGACTCAAGATGGTAGAACATCATTTTACATGTGGAGAGGAAATGACAGCTCAATATTTACTGTGGAGATAAATGCAAAACATGGTGCAGAGATTCCCTTTGCTTTGTGGTTAAGGGTGCCCCTTCCTCAAAGGACACAGAAAAGAGTTCGAATGTCTTGCTCCTACCTCAACATACTTTATCAATTTAACTACAAAATATTATAGTCTTATAAAACAACTGAGGGAGCCCGTCAGATTTATTTGAAAATAATTCCTATTTTTTTGTTTTGTTTTGTTTTGTTTTGTTTTGTTTTGTTTTGTTTTGTTTCATCTAGTAGCATATAAAGGCAATAAGCATTGCTTCCTGGCTATTTTCAGCAGAGAATGTGACTGTTCAAGCCTTTGCTCTGGCAGAGCGAGGCAAGCTGATTTCACTGCTAATAAGAGGTCAAGCAGATCCCTCTCCTGAGCTAAAAAAGACTAGATTGCTATTGTCTTTTAGAAATTCATGAGGTGAAATTCTCCACAGAACCTATTCTCATTTTATCACTACCACTATATAAAGCAAGTCCTTCCCAGGGGTCAAGTTTTTGCTTTTATACAAGTTAAAATTGCTGATGGGCTAGAGCTGTTCTTACAAGACATGTACAATGAATGGTATGTGGAAACAAACTGAACTCCTTGCAAGCAGTAGAGCAGCTAGGGCCTTCAGAGCCCTTGAGATCAGTTCACCTCCAAACTGAGGAGAAGGAATGAAGAGAATTCCTCTTCATTCTCGTACATGACTTGCTGAATCATTCCTGCCAGAAATAATCTTGTTCTTTAATGCATAACCAAATACCTGAAAAACGAACACTTTGCCTTTCACAGGGAGGAAGAATAGGGAACTTTCAAAATACTTCCTTCTTAGAAGAACTGCTTAATTTAAATGACAAAAAGTGAACACAGTTGCCATAATAATAATAAGAAAAATAATTCTTACAGAACAACAAGAACAACAAATTCCAGTCAGGAAGTTTAGTGTAAGCTGCTGTCTGGAATCCCAGCAAGCATCTCTGTTTAAACAGAGAACAAATGAGAGCATCCCCAGTGCCCATTCCCTGGGTACAGTTTATTGCAGGCAGAGAGGGGAATTATTCTAGGACTGTTTTACTGCAGTGCCTAACTTCTGACACAGTTTAATGCAGATTTGATATAGTAGGAACAGTCTTGGAGCTGAAAAAGAAGGCTAGAAAAAAGATTCAAGCCCTTAGGAAACAGCAGTAACAGACCTTTTATATTTGTACTGATATCATGCTGACAAATGATATTATCAGGATATGAGAAGTGTTTTTCAGAAAGCATTAAATATGAAAACAGCTCTGGAAGCACGTTTCTCTTCCCCCCTTTTTTTTTCTTCTAGAAAGTATATATGTTAAGAAAACAGGGAGAAAAAAAAAAGAAAAAGAAAAAGAAAAAGAAAAAGAAAAAGAAAAAGAAAAAGAAAAAGAAAAAGAAAAAGAAAAAGAAAAAGAAAAAGAAAAAGNAAAGAAAAAGAAAAAGAAAAAGAAAAAGAAAAAGAAAAAGAAAAAGAAAAAGAAAAAGAAAAAGAAAAAGAAAAAGAAAAAGAAAAAGAAAAAGAGGGTACTTAAATAAAAGAAGGGTGCAGTAGTCCCTAAATTTATAAGGCAGAGCTCAGCCATTCTTTCCATTTGGTAGGTGCCAGGTCACAGACTGGCTCTATCTCTTTTGGTAAGGAAGGCAGCATCACAGGAAAGGATCTGTAGAGCAAAACAATCAGTACCAAGGACCAGATGTCCACACTTGTCCAGGCTTGAGGTTTTACTTTAGGCAGCTCTGGTCTAGTCCAGGAGATTCTCTGCTCATTATCGGTTGAAATCTGACAGTTTATTTTCATCCAAAAGGAAGACAGGTTTTGAGATCTGGAACTGCTCAGTAATGCAAACCAAAGAATGGGAAGTAGGGGTAGGGGGACAGCTTCACCTGAAACATTCACTCTTGATCTGATCTAAAATACTACCACTGACCCATCTGGCATGTATCACAAGGAATGTAACTTTCCTCCTATGGAGCAGGGACTTCACAGGGAAAAAAAAAAAAAATGCCCTTTGTCTCTGAATGTTTCATCTTTTCCTCAAAGGAAATTGGTTTGCCCTGCACTGACTTCTCAGTGGATGTGTTAAAAAGTACCTTATGTTAAAAATTACCTATAAGATTCAGCTGTTATTTGACCCATAGCACCTCTTCACCTATAAATGCAACCTCCTGGGACAACTGCTTTCTAGTGAACTTGCAATAATTTCCTCACTCCAGTACTGTCGCTTGTTTTTTTTTTTCAGAAAGGCTGCTTGGACCTCATCTGCACTTGGAAGACCTGGTCATCTGAGGACGATAGTATGTCAAATCAAGACTWGCAAGGCCTCCTGGACATGCTCCAGGAAGAAACTCATTCTGTTCCCCTCTGTTATGGGAAGCTAATTAACCTGTCTGGCTTGACAAGCTGAGTCTGGACTTAGAAAAATTGTCAGGATAGAGCAAGGTAGCACAATACACACACACACACACACAAGATGGCTCCGCAGCTTCTAGAAATAGGAGCAGCTGGACTTTCACATTAACCATAACATTCCAGGATTTCACTATTCTAGTGAAATTTTATTTATTATTATGCCTTTGCTCCCATTTTGAAACCCCCTGACAATTTCCCAACATTTCCTGTGTTTCTCTCTACTGTGACTTCAAAATTCACTTTTTCTGCACTGATCCAAAAAGATAAATAAAACCAATCCTGACTACAGTTTTTGGTGGCAAAGTTTCCAGTTAYGAATGTCACATATCTATTCCTTTAGCTAAAAAAGAATGCTAGGAGAAATCTACAGAACAGGAAAGACTTAACTTCAGCAAGAAATTCAGCACTTACTGCCATCTCTGCAGYTTTATAGCTAAGGCTGTACAATCAGGATTCTGTTTGGCAGCAATGCACTAGATTTCATATCCTCTGAATTCACTGTTGGGAGCTTTCATAGGTTCCTGACTCATACACATATACACTCTGGTAGGACTTCAAACTAAAGGCTTACCCCAAGTGTTTCACTACCCAGAACCAGCAGTTTCAAAGCTGTAATAGCTATAAAGAATTTACATGGAAAATTCAAACAGAAATGCAGTTAGGGAAATCAAGGATATTCAAAACTACCTACAAGTCTTTCTAGAGAGAATTTTTTTTAATCAAAAAGGACTGCAATATTCACTTATTTAAAAGAASAGATTATGTTTTTTTCTTCATTCCAGTAGTTTTGAATTTTAGAGTTGATCTTTTCCTTTTGCTTCTGTCTACTTGTATTTACAATATCTCTTGTACATGACTTCACAAATGGTGTGAAGATTAGTTCTTGCATCACAAATAGTGATAATCCATGTGGAAAAAGAAGAATCCAGAATCATCCTATTTTTAAGGCACAGTTATAATCAAAGAATATTATCCATGTCCATATTTTCTGTGTCACTTCTCTTAGTAACCTTTTGACCAACTAGATAATGGTTTTGGAAAGGCTGTATTTTTTATATATCTTGAGTCCAGCATATTCCTCTTGACACTACAATATATTTAATTATGTAAAGCCTTTCTAACAACAAAATCATCTAGACTACAAGATTTGTAGTTATCCAGGAAACCTGAGATTATTTCTTCTCCAAATGGGGACTGAAGAAGACAGAGATTTTGTGGAAAAAAATAAGCATCTGGCTTGTATTTTAATAAATATGTTTAAGAAAATTGAGTTGAAATTGMACGGACTATCACAGAAGCCATAAGGAACACCAGAATTCTTGTTTTGCAATTTGAATAAGTTTATTCTGGCATAAGCTTTAATGCAAATTCCAATTTATAAAAGAGATTGTTAAAACAAACTCGATTATATGCAGAATTAATAGCACTGTCCCCAAATACCATCAACAGAGTTTTAAGCTGAACTAGTTTATATGACTGATCGTTATCATTTTAATTTCAGAACTGTCTACATTAGCTTTTACCTAATGGCTTATGGCCTGTGGCCTGTAATGGGCCATGTAGGCTAATTTAAACAAAAGATTAACTTTGTCCCAGCTCCTCCTTTCTCCCATCCTTGGACACAAAAGGCTGATTTAATGTTCAACAGAATGACACACAGAATTGAAGTGGCCCTAAAGAGCAGCTCCTAAATCATGTTTCGTTTTTGCCTCTTGTCTGCTGGTACTCTGGTTCTCACAAAGTGAAACTCCACTGGAGTTAAACCTGCCAGATTTTGGTGATAACACATCTCCAGTTTTAGATTTTAAAGTGCCTGTCTCATTATTATATTGGCATATGTAAAAAGTATTTTGATCTATGAACATGAAATGTGATTTCTAATTTGCTTGGAACTTAGCTGTGCCTTAATAAAACATAAAGCAAATCAAGCCACACCTTTGACCAAAAGGCAAACCGAATGGCCCTGCACCTGTGACAGGACTGTTGATAAAGCTCCATCCATAAAATTTTCTCCAGAGGCAGTCATACAGAGACTAGGGATGCAACGTAGCTTTGAGATCTGGTTGAATATGCACAACAATTGAAAGAAGCAGTATTTGACTCGTCGGTTAAAACCAAGAAACCCTTGGAATTTTCATGTAAATTTTTTTGATTATAGCTGCATTTTACAAACTAATTCAGAAACCACATTGTATTAGATAACTGCAATGTTACCTTTAGAACTAAAGCAAAAACACATCAGTACATTCAGAGAGGCTTTCTCTGTCCCAGTCCTGATGATGCTAGAAGGGATCTTCAGGCTCTCTTAGCTGCTCAAGGTAGAGCTCCATTACTAAACTGAAGGGAAGTCTAGAGCTTCAGAGATCACTCCATCACTGCATATCAATGCAAACCATATAACTACATGTAAACAGCTTATCTTTTTCCTTCAGAATCAACCAGGGGTCAAGCACTTTGAAATCTGTTTTTATAAAGAAGATTTTTTAAAGGTTCCAACATCCCTCAATTCCCATTAAGACTTTCTTTTTTTTTCCTAATGCTTCTTTTTCTTATATAAATGCACATAACCTATATTGCCATTTTTCTCATCTATGATTAWGAAAATGTTCAGAAAGGAAAATTCCTCAGACACTTTCCTTTGAAAAACAACAAGGTCTGGTACAAAGAATGCGTAAAAGGGAAAGCAAGAATTGCAGCGCTGTTAAACTGACAGCAGCATATGCTGTTTTCTCTTGTCCCTTATCATTCTTACCATTCTTCTGCTCATTTTTCTCCTTTAACATGCAAAGATCACGTACCTTTCATTCCCCTCAATTTGTTAGAGACCATATGGTACAAGATTASTAAATGCTGCACTGGGTTATCATGTCATGTTAACCCTCTTATAATGCAAGCAGGCAGAGGCCCTTAGGAAAATGAAGTGGGAATTTGGGGAAGAGTGATGAGAAAGGGGAAAGTTGAAATTGTGAGCAAGGTCAAACATATCGCTGAGTGGCCTGATTTTTTGCTTTTAATTATCTGTTTAAACATTGCAGGAGTGCAGCTCTCTGTGGGCTGAATTTCTAGCCCAGGGAAAATCTCTCACTCTGTCCTCAACAGTGTTTCACAAAACAACTTGTACCAAAAAGCCTCTAGCTCCTGTAAAACACATAGCTGCAATTATGGCATCTAAGCCATATTTGTATTAGTAATCTAGGGCAGAGACTTCCGCAGTATCTGACRGTCTTTCATATTTGCTAATCTAGCATGGTCGCTGTGAGTTTTGACTTGTGTCAATCATCGGCTTACACCAAACTGTCCTTTAGTGATCTGGAGGTAACATAGGACCTCTCTCGTATATAGTCTGGATGCAGCCACATTCCCAAGATAGGATGAAAGGAAGCCTCAGGACCGGAGTCTGGTCTGGTCTCTCATCTATTTGCTTTCTGAGCAAAGAGCACCCAACATCTGTGAGTTGTACAGAAGTTAGAAAAAAGTTTAAAGTACCAGATTTCTTTCTTTCTTCATACTTGAGTATATGATATTTTGGCTGACTTGAGCCACAAGTTACAATGGAATTTGTGATGTGCACTGATTCCTTCCTTGCTTGACATATTCTTCAAATCATCATCATGCACAGTCAAGTTGCTTCTGTTCTTCACTAAAAAGTGTGTCCCATATCTGACACCCTAAGCCTCCTGCAAGTGAGTCATGGTAATTTCTCCTCCTCCCTCATCCTCCAAGAATAATACAACAAAAAATATTCCATTATTTTTCAGAATATGTGAAACTTGACTTTGCTGCTTCAGGAAACAAGTAGACAACAAAGGCTGCACAGATTCCTGGGGTGGTGCATAAGGTAAATAAGACCTTGTTTTAAACTGAAATGTTTCATCTTTCAGCATTATATTCTTAGAATGGAAAAACAGTCCCCAGGACAGTTCTCTAGAGAATGAGATTTTCAATCAGATTGCATAGTAGGCACTCCCTTCTATAGTGGGCATGTTTAATTATTAGAGTAATAATTCTGCATGTTCTTACCTCTCCCACCACTTCCAACCTGCTGGCATCATCAGAAGTACAGGTCAAGTTACCATGGTGAAGCAGAGAGTCATCATCTTTGGAAGGGCTGTTCACACCTTCTAACTCATCGAAAAAAATGTTGACATCCTTAGCTACTAAAAACAAAAATAAAAATATACATTCAAACCATAGTTAAGTCAAACGAAGTCCTGGAGTGTAATGCATTATTATCAACAATTGTACTTTTTATTTCTGGTGTAGGTATATACTATATTAAATTTAAGATCTCCTGATGCATATTGGTGCAATGATCTTTTCYCATCAGTAACCCACAGAGAGATTTAGGATACATAATATATCTCTCATGTCAAGTAAGTAATCACCTGTCACAATAAAACATATGTTAGCTATCTCCTCAGCTTCTTTTAAGTGCTTTAAATGATTACCTTCTGGATTACTATGGCCTCTGAAAAGTTCTTATTATAATGAAGCACATTTTTGACATACTACACAAAGCGCCAACTTAGAAGCCGTATAGAGCTGTAGAGCAATCAGTAGCAGAGAATCTCAAATAACTAATGTCACTCAAAAGAAAGTGAATAAATGAGCCTGGAATCGTTTGACTATTTTTAGGTGAACACGTTTTCACATCTGCAAAGCTGGCATGTGCAGATCTGCACAACCCTCAGAGCTGGGCATGAATAAATGGCTTAAATCTTTAGGACGCTGAATTACATCCAACCTGAYGAAAAGTCAGGAGACGGGAGCTCCCAAGGAGCTACTTCTAACTGTGGCCCCAGTGTTCAGCCCTGGCCCCATGGCAATGTCCCATGCTCAGGGCTGCAGCTACCCCAGAGCAAAGAGGATGGTGAAGAAGTCAGTGTGAGTAGAAGAAAATACCTTTGCTGAGGTTCARATCTCTACTGTGTGTTCAACCCTACATCTCATATGTAAAACCCCAAAGGGASCTCAGAAGGTCCCTTGATGAGCCTGCCTCCTGACCAAGGCAGGATCCAATATACCTCTCTGTCATTCTTGACAGAAATATGACTTTTCCAGTCTTCCTCACATGGTTTGCAAACTCAGCTGACTTCTGGACTCATTTTTTTTTGTGCATCATTCTCCTGATGCTCTTGCTTCTCTGTAATTCCCCCAAGTAAGYGACAGGCAGTTGTAATTTTGCAGACTAATTGCTTGTGGCACCTTGGTCCCATTTCTAACTAATGGCTGCAGGTATAAAAATTCATCCTCCCACTGTGGAGACGCTGAATAGCATCYAGAAATTAAAGGCTATTAACTATTCCCCAGCCTTGGGAAGCAGTCTGCAATCTCCCTTTCACCCTTCGACGGGAGATACAGCCTAGTTTAAGAAGTCTTTTTTAAAAAAAAAAATAATCTCCTATTCTGCAGGTTTAACAGCCTCTGCAGGCAACCTATTCTTCACTGTCATTGGCAGGAGAAAGTTTTCTTCCTAATATGCATCCTGCACCCGTGCTGCTATTTAAATGGATTGTTCTTCTCCTATCAGTCATGAACATAGGGAAGAGGTCATTCCCTTTTAGTACCTGTCTTTTACAGTACCTAGAGACTGTTATTATTGCTTTGTGTGGATAAAAAGATCACGTAAGATTCCAAGATTGAAGAACTCCTTTTCTTGCTTTTCAGRAATAAAATGACAGGATCAACAACCTATCTTGCATTTTTGATTGAAAYACTTTGTTTACAAGGTCACTAGGGAATTAGCCACAGCAATTAAAAAAAACAACTTCACATCCAAATTAGATAAATAACATTAACAGCAGATACCATAGACTAGACTAGATTAACAGGAAAAAAATTCTCTGCAAATTTGCAGTTTTAGGATGATATATTGCATCTCAAGTTTAGCAGTTTTTGAGTCACATATTACCTAATCTAGCTATGATTCTCAGTATTGAAATTGCATGATATTTAACCTTGACTTAACATTTTATATGATGATCTTTCAGTTTCAGATAACACTCTCCAGCTTTGCTGGATCCCAACCAGCTTTAGCAGCACTGCTACAGCTAATAACCTTACCTACTTCAGCTCATCTTTAAGTTGTGCTTGTCATCAAAGTCTTTGAACATATAATAGATTTGAAACCATTTTTCACAGATACTAAATTTCTCCTGCATTTTTAAAGTTTTTTTTTTTTCTGTGAGTCTGTTTATTCACTTCTCCTATTTTTGTGAAAATGCTAAGACATCATTAGCATCCAGGAGCTGAGCTTTCCATTTTTACAAGGCCTGGCCTTCTGTACGACGCTAGAGGTGAGTTTACTGAAGTGAGGGGCAAGACAGCACAGAAACTTCATGTGCTGGTTATGCAACATGACAGGAAGAGCCTGCAGCTCCTCGCTGTCACTGGGGCTGCATCCAACCCTGACCTAGGAAAATCTACCAAGGTATTTGTAGACTTAGAAGGAACAGATTTCAATCATAGGATAGGCAGCAATAACAAAGAAAAGATCTGCCTCCTTTATCCATTTAAATCCTTAGAAATTCTACTAGAGTTGCTCACACAAGACAAGGGAACTGTCACAAGACACAGCACAGTCTGACTTTCTCTTCACTTTCCCCACGGAGTCAATTTGTCAACTAGCACAACTGGAAACCTTCCAGCCCTTGTGATAATAACCTGGATGTAGCTCACAGCCAGCCTTTGCATACTTCTTTGTATGAGAAGAATTTGCATACTTCTTTATAAGAGAAGAATTTATCTGCATAATCAGTATAAAGAACRGCTGAAACAGAAACCTTTCTGAACGACTAGAAATTTTGCAGCACTGAAATTCTGACATGCATCTCCAAGAAAAAAAGCACATTAACCTGTATGTCATCACAGGACAGGACAGCATATGCTGAAATCAAACAAAAATAATTAAAGAGGAAAGCTTTCTAAAAGAAAAATATGAAGTGTRTTATTTTTGTAGAGATAAGCAATGAAGGAAATAAAAGTGAAGGATATTGGAAACTATGCACTAGGGAGTTTGAACTAGCAGCTTTCCCTGCTATGAAGGTTTCTCTGGTATAACTCACGAGTCTACTGAGATACCAGAAACACTATTTCCTGCTATGCCGATAATGCTTTGGGTTGCAGAATAGACAGTTTCCCAGCAGATGCTTGAGATACTCAACTTGGTGTGTGAGAGAGTGAATTTGTTTTGCAGTTTCAAGCAGAGAAAGATCGGATTATTTTAAGGACTTCGGATAAACACAAAATCTCTGAGGGTGAGGTAAACATTGGAGTAGCACTGAGGTTAAACATCGGAGTAGTGCCGAGGGTAAACATCGAAAGTAGGACCGAGGGTAAACATCGGGAGTAGGACTGAGGATAAACATCAGAGTAGGACTGACGGTAAACATTGGAGTATCACTGAGGGTAAACATCGGAGTAGGACCGAGGGTAAACGTCGGGAGTAGCACCAAGGGTAAACATCGGAGTATGACCGAGGGTAAATATCGGAGTAGGACCGAGGGTAAACATCAAACTATGACTGAGGGTAAACATCGGAGTATGACCGAGGGTAAATATCGGAGTAGGACCGAGGGTAAACATCAAACTATGACTGAAGGTAAACATCAGAGTAGGACTGAGGGTAAACATCGGAGTAGGACCGAGGGTAAACATCGGGAGTAGCACTGAGGGTAAACATCGGAGTAGCACCGAGGGTAAACGTCGGGAGTAGCACCGAGGGTAAACATCGGAGTACGACCGAGGGTAAACATCGGAGTAGGAC